GATCATCACCAGGGTTAATTGTTTTGAGAATCGTGGGGAAGTGATCACTACCACATAGGTCATCATGAACCATCCATTCAAATTCATTATATATGTTGGAATCGGCAAGTGTCAGATCCAGGGAAGAATATGTTCCCGTAGCTGGATGTAAATAAGTGGCTGAATCGTCATTTAAAATACATCAATTATTATCAGAAATAAATTCTTCAAGGATTTTACCTTTGTTATTAGTATGGACACTGCCCCAAAGCGGGTTGTGTCCGTTAAAATCGCCCATGATAAGACATGGCTTCGGAAGTTGATCATACAGATTTTGAAGATCCGATTGTTGAATATTTGAAGAGGGAGGTATATACAAACTGCACAATGTCAGAGTAATGTGCAGAGTCAGACGCACAGCAATAGTTTGAAGATCCGTATTTAAAGTGACAGGACTGTGAATGACACTATGGTGTACCAAAATAGAGGTACCTCCAGTAGCTTTATCGCCTGGAGGGGAGAAGGAATGATAATCACTAAACCGTCTTAAATTAAAGGTATCAGTATTTTTAAGGTATGTCTCTTGAAGACATAATGCTGACGGTTAAAGATATTGATTGAGTAATTGTATTTCATTGACGTTATTCTTCAGTCCTCTGCAATTCCACTGAATTATATTAGACTATTGAGTCATGATGGTGGCTCAATTGGAGATCTCACTCGTGAATTGGAGGAGGAGCTATTCCTCCGCTTGTCCTGGAGGACAGTGTGACCTCCATGTCGAGAGGTCCAAAGGGGTTCTCCAGAGGGAGTTCTGAAGGTAAAGGGACGAAAGGTGTCTCTTTTCTGTTTAAGTGTTTTTCCTTTTGCTTTTGATGTATTGCCTGAGGCGGGCTGTTTGTTTACAGTTTTAGATTGTATCTCAGGCTGTTTCTCAGTCTGAGAGGCAGACGTAGCCTGAGTGTAGCCTGATTACTGAGGTTGTAAGCATTATTGTCTGAGACTTGACCCATTAGTGTGTCAGACATGCAACAGAGGACGTTGCCACAGATAGAGTGATCTGCACAATATGAAACATTCAACGGAGCGGAGCTCTGATTTTGGAAAAGTTTCTTGGCATGAAGGTAAGAAATGTTTTTCTTGCATTTCAATCTCATTTTTGAGGTCTCCTTTTGCCACACGGGGCAGGATTTTGAGGAAGCGCCATGTGGGCCATGACAGTTATCACATTTAAACTCCTTGTCACAGTTTGTATTGCCGTGGCTCTCACCACATCGATGACATATCACAGAGCCACGACAAGAGTTTGACCCATGACCAAACTTCTGGCACTTATAACACCGGAGCGGACTGGGGACTTACACGTCCACTCCGATATTAAAGTATCCTGCTTTAATGGATTGAGGTAGGGTTGAGCGAGAAAACGTCAAGAGATATGTGTTTGTTTTCACTATGATTCCTTCTTTCTTGACAGTGAAACGTTTTACAGCTGTCACTCCCTGATCAAAAAGCTCTGCTGCAATGTCCTCTTCTGACATGTCTGACAGACAACGCGCCCTGTCACGGATGATGCCACGGCAGGAATTCTATCTTCTGTGCACGGACACAGCAACCTCAATATTGGCAAATGTTTTGATAGATAACAAATTGAGAGATTGCTGTTTCCGTGTACATTCAACCAGAAGTGAACCACTACGGAGACGAGTGACGTTCTTAACTTCACCACAAATGCCGGATACAGGCTTAGAAATGGCAAAAGGGTTCAATTTTATCGGAAGAAAGTCAACAGCCTCGATGACAAGGAAACGAGACCAGGACTCATCAGTGGGGGAAATAGTTCTTGAAGATTCGTCAACAGTTTCATAACGCCTCTTCTTTTCATTTCTAGATGAACCAGGTAGTTGTTAAGACATGGTGAAAGGAATTTGGTTCGGCACCCCTGCTGCCCACCTACCATGGAGTGTCTACCAAGGACGATGTCAATATGCACCGGATCTCCAAGATGCTGACACCAGGGATACAGGGGTGTTATACTCCAGAGAATATGACGTGAACAGCTGTATTTGTCTACCAATTCAATGCCAAACTGGTTCGGAAAGTGAACAAGAAATTGAAGACATACATTATTCAGAGGTCAACATCACCAGATTGACCCATAAGCCACCGCCTTCTGGCATAGGACTCTATGCAATATAGTATAATAAAAAATTATACAATAGTAATCGAAGTTACCAATACCCAATAACAAGTTCAATGTGCAAAAATAGTCACCATGCACAGGGCTTGGCGTGACCAGCCGATTGTTAGAACCGGGCCAGTTCAACCACCCGTCTAGGTGAAGTAAGGGCCGAAGTGGTGTGTTGGGCAAAAGGAACACGGTTCCAGGATCCTATTGCCCTCAACCACCAGAATCCCGTCCTCCACCGACACAGGGGCGCAACCAACGGCGAACGGGTTGGTGGACCAAGTATACCCCCGGGTCCACAACGGGGGGTCGAAGAATGCTTAGCGTTACCCAGCACCCAACACGAGGAGGTGGCTCTTCACGGGTGCCGTATAATCTATTAAAAAGTAAATATAATACATATAAATCCTTATTTACAGATGGGTCCAATGACGGTGGCGCGGTGACATGTGCCACTGTCATTGGATCCAGAGCAATATCTTCTAGAATACCGGATAACAGCTCTATATTTACAGCAGAAGCAACCGCCATCTTAACAGCTCTTAAATATATTCAAAGACATTCTAAACATAAACAATATATAATCTTTTCCGACTCTCTTTCTTGCCTTTAGGCTATTAAAAATCTATCTTGCATCTATCTAGATTTGTTGACTGATCTGTAAATAGCTAAATGTTTTATTGTTGGTTTTTTAGATTAATAACTGAGATTGTTAGTGGCTGTACCCTCAAAGGGGGTTGAAGTAGCGTAAAATTATTGTCCTACTGAGAGGGTACGTACGTCCCAACACATTTAAAGTAATATTAAACTTGCCACCTTTTTAATCGTAGAATATGTGTGCTTTTAATCTATTGCTAGATTTCTCTTACATCACCAATGGCTGAAGGGAGGGGTGTAAATCCAACTAGGGTCTATGCAGGTAGCAAAGGTACTGTAAGTCCCCATGGTCCCTAGTATGGTGATCTACCTTCAGTTGTTGGCGATCTATAGCCTATTTTTATATTGTGCTGTCCCCTATAGTTGAAATGTTTTAGATTTAATTACTAGTTTTAAATTCGAATCCGTGATAATCTAGTTATTTTGCTGTCGTTCGTTGACAGGTTTTTACAGTTTACCATTACTAACTATGTATAAAATTAATTGTTCTCGTCACGATATGGCTGAAATATTGCCGATGTGACGTTAAATTGTAACTCACTCACTCACCCCTACACAGTGATTTATGAACTAGACCATATCTTAGTCTTGAAAAACATTTCTTCAGAACAATTTCAATTACGTATTTCAATAACACCGCCCTCCTCTGCTTTTTTTCATATGTATATGAAGGGAACGTGACTCTGCTCACCGTGACCTAGATTTACACAGGATTTTAGATGTATACAAACTGCAAAATGGACTCAGGACTGTGTATAACAAAGCAATGTCGCGTTTAATGCACAGCGAATGTAAGCATTTCGCGATCACACCACAGTTACACTGCGCTTTGTTCAGACATATATCCACGACCGTGCACTGAATATAAATATATAACTGCATTTGGCTATGCGTACTATTCTTAATATATCCCCAGCTAGCTGGTATGAAAGCCTCTTTCTATCCTCGTAGTCCGTGTAAACGCGTCAAGTTGTCGATTGTGCCACAGTATTTGATGAAAACGTGTTTCTGTATATTACAACGAATTTCTATGGCTATTGAATGTCTACATACAGCAGAGCATAAAGATGTTACAATCGAGTGCATACATGCTTGAGCGAATTATGAATCAGTGTTAAGCTATAAGAATCCTAAATTTCTTTCCTTCTGAAATGTCGGTTACAGAACGAATTGAGATACAACAATTAGAACCATTGGAAACACCCATATGATACATGGCAGAAAACAGTAAAAATAAAATGTCACGTGTTTAGTGAGTGAGTGATGTATCCTTTCTCACATTTTCCTAGCATTCATTGCCTTTCTGCAATCATCGGTTTATCAAGGCGTATGTACACGTGGATTTGTCGAGGTGCTTTGATGAAGGCAGGTGAAAAAAGAATCAGTGGATTTGTATTTTGACACCGAATAGTCGTTATACTAAGAGTAACATTGATAATAAATTAGGTCCTATGCGTTTCTATCTAATTCATTTTCACTAACAAACAAAAGCTGCAAAGCCCTTGCCACATTCATAAGAATATCTCCATATTCAATATAGTTATATTCATGGGTCGTCTAAATGCAACATGGATAAAAAAACAGAAATGTCATTGTCACTTCGTCGACCTTAAAGCAAACGAAACAAAACTTGGCACACATCGCTACCATGCGATAATACAACGACGTACCAAAGAATTGCCCAAATCCATGAAGAATCAAAGATATAAAAACACCTTCAAACGGCCATCAATTATCCCGCCACCAAACAAGTTTCCTTTGCGTGTGAACACAACGCGTTCTATTGTATTCATCTTCCGGTTAATGTAAATTATTAACTTAACAATTAGGATTGTTTCATTACAGCTATGGTAAGAGATAAGATGGCAATATTTATTGGCATACATAAAGTACTGTGAAATTTCGGTCATTAAAACATGTTGATATTTACGAAATTGCAACTCTTATTATTTAAATCAATAGCATCCAATCTACATGCCCGCGCCTTGATAGGTATCACATATCCTGTTTTGATATCCTGTGGATTCACTAAAATTTCATATTTTTCACATTTTTATGAAATGGAAACACTGTTGACACTGTCATGCTGACCTTCATGTTGATATATTTGTTGTCAGGAGACATTCTGTTGAGACTGACTATGACCAGGATTTTTAAAATTCTGTTTTAGATATCCAACATGGAATGGTGCTGGGTGGGATTGCTTGTGGTCTGTGTCACTGTGGCCCTCACTGGTAGGGACGTTATTCACGGAATGTAAAACAAGTGTAAACATTTGCAGATTTGTGCCTAGATTTTCGAAGCTCTCTTAGAGCTGAGATAGTCGTTAGTTAATGTTAATGTATGGCACTTACGACTATCTTAGCGCTAAGAGAGCTTCGAAAATCCAGGCCCTCTGTAGTCTTGCTTCACAAATACTTTGCTATCCTCGAATCCTATCACTATGTTCTGAAGCTAAACCTTTACAAATGACACGTAACAACTTTTTAAGCAGATGCCCAATGCCACTGCAGTACATCAGAACTCTGTGACAAGTTCCCCTCAACTCCCTGTAGTCAGATGGGTGGTCAGGACATGTGTCAGGAGGGATGGTTTGGTCCGTACTGTCAGAAACGTGAGTATGACGTTTATACATATAGATAAATACATGTCAACGTGTCACTAGTATTTGTTCATTCCACTTGTCCTGCATATTTTGTGTTCCTGTTTTCAGGAAATGTTGCTCTGCGAAGATCGTGTAGCCAGAGCAGTACACTAAATGATAATGCAAACAACTATGGAGCAGCACTTGGTGTTGACGGCAGAGCCACAACAGATGCCAGGGGCCCGCTAAGGACATGTGCTCATACAGAGCAAGAGTCAAATCCCACCTGGACTGTGAACCTGAATACTCCAGTTACAGAGAAGATACAACACATCAGACTTTATCTTCGCAACGACCGTGAGTTCACCCATACGATCAATGTGATAGTGGTAATGTCAAACGGTGCAAGCAAATGACACTCACATATACTCATAGAAACGAATAAGGGAACACCTGAATGTACAAGTGTTCCTTTATTTATTTCCAGACTTTTACCCACAGTGCAATAATACTTTGTGAAGAAACCTGGAAAATAATAAAGGAACACTTGTGCTTTCATGTGTTCCCTTATTTGTTTCCATGAGTATATTTTGTGTAGTTCATGAGTTGTTCTCACAAAGGATGTGAGCAAATGCAAAATTATTCCAAAATTTTAGTGGAATTGACATATTATCCATATTAGGACACATTCAGAATAGCATGTCACCAATGTAACATGTGAGAACAAAACATTTATAATGAAACAAAATGCTTACAAAATGCTTTGTATTTCACATTGTTAATCGTTAGATACTACGGGTACTTACAAAGTAGTCATTTGCAACGAACAAACCAATAGACTGAAATGAAACATAGCCTCATAATACGAAACGAATGAGTTACAGTGAATTAAACAGAGGGAAAATGTACACCTGTGTTTCAAGCTGAGAATCGACGACAATCATAATGTTAATATACGTGCGTGATATCAAAAACAACTGTGTCAGTTTTAGGTCAAAATGATTAGACAAACCACGTTCAACTAGTTTCTGATCAGTGATTTTCAAATTCCAAACCAATCTAATTTCTTGTTTTAATTTTATGTACAGTCATGTTATACTAGATGGACATCTATTCATCTATTTTGGGAGTGAACAAAACAATTCAAATTCACTGGTTAAATCAGTAATGGATACAGCAGCTTACACATTTCACACGGTGTCGTATCGCTATTTCTCATACGAAAAGGCGAAGTCATGTGTTCACGGTTTTGCATTTAATATTAACTATACAATCGTCTGAAATGTACAAGTAATAAATTGAGATCAATGTCAAATGTAGATACTTCCATGATGGTTAACCGAGGTGTGGGAAGTCTGAAGTGAGAGAAGGGTGAACTAGCATTTTAAACGTGATGCTCACCAGTAAATGTTTGAAATAAGAAGATCTCACAAAGTGTCTTCACCTGTCAGTTTTTTTTTACGACATGACAATCCGTTTTGTAAACAAGTATAATCAGTGCATACAAACAATACATGACATTCCTTACCTGTGCATTACGCTGTAGAATCATGTCATACTATTGTTCTTTGTGTGCTGAAGTGTGGCAATCTGGGCAGTCAACGACGTGGCATATAATGGCATGAACTGACCATTCTTATCCCTAGTTGATACAGTTAAGTGAGTGGAACTCGTCACAATATGGCTGAAATGTTGCATTTTAACTCAATAAGATATTGAGGGACGCGTTTCAAATTTGACGAAAAATATGCTAGAAGTACATTTCCAATGATTGATATTCAATATGAGAAAGGAGAGCATACACACCTGTTGGAATTTGTCTTATAAAACACGTCCTGGTAATCTGTGTCACCATTAGTAAATCTAACAGGTCGAAGCCCTCGTTTATAGTCGGGAGAATTAGCTCATTCTTAGGGCGAAGAATACGCGTGAACTTCCAAACTGAAACAACAAGTTAACCGATAGTTCAGTATGTACATCTTGTCCATGTATATGGTTATATCTTATAACATGTTTGCATAACAAGAAATTCTGTTAAGGACAGCAGCAGTTCATAGTCCATTCTTTCAATGAAATTACAAGTGATAATTTTCTTTACTTGTTTTTCTTTATATGTGTATGAAATGCTTTAGAAATACTTCATGGTAATCTTGTATTTTAGCAGTATGATTTCTTCAGATCCTTAGGATAAAATGATGAAGTCGGTGGGTTTTCTATGCCCTTTTAATATAGACCACAATCACCAGGCTCATGATTTTTAAGAAATCTCGTTTAAAAAATGTCACCTATGTCTTATGTGTATTTGTACAGACTCCAAGTAATCTATCATTGTAAAACCAGATATAGTTTAATAAAATCAAACTACAAACCTCGGAATTTTAAAACATTAACGAACCTTAAGTGCACTGATACATTCGATGTGAAGCCTCATAGGTTTTAACTTTTATCAACTGAGTTTATATGCATCATGTCCCTGGTCAAACGGTTGAGATGCTCTACTAATCATATGTGTCTTCCATCTGTGCAGTTCAGGAGAGAAGCAACGGTATGGAGATATTTGTGGGCAGCCAGATGTGCTTCAACTGGTCATCAACTGAACATCCTCCTCCTATAGCTAACGTCACCTGCCGCCAGCCACTGACAGGAACCACGGTCACAATACGGATACCTGGTCCACGGAAATTCCTTACTTTGTGTGAAGTGCAGATATTTGGTATGTCATGGCTATGTGGATTTACACATTTGGATATGTTGTTCATTGGTATGAACTAGAAAAGGTTTCACTATCGATACATGTATTATCTATCGGGCTGTTGAAACACATTAAATTACAATGGATATTGCAGCGATGAACTAAACACTTTCCACCCATCTATTAGGACTCTTAACATTAAGTATAATCCTGTTATTACTTAAATTCAATGTCCAGTGAGGTTTTCTTTATTGAATTGTTCAATCTTTTCAACAGCAGTGACAAATGTATCTATCCATCAACTGTATTCATTCAGTAGAGTTTACCACAGGCCCATGATACAATAGCAAAACTGGAGTCCCAGTCTCACGGTGCCTGTTTGTTTCTAATCAACATTACTATGTATATATCATCGGTAAGCCTTTTGACCATGCATTCGTTCGTTTACGCCATTAACAGATTGACTTGGTGTTATCCAAATTTTCACACAGATGGTAATTTTTGAACGTAATGAAGCGTCTTTGTAGGTCATACACGGTGTCATGGTTGTTCGTCTGTGCCCTATTAAATAGATGCCTTGCGCTGAGAATGTGGGTTGGAATAACGGATGGGACCCAACAAGTAACATCACTAAAATCTGTACTTCTTTTAGAAAGTTTAATCTCAAATATAACATATGTTATGTTACATTTAACCACTTTTTGAAAGAAAATGTGTTTTCCTGTTTGAAGTGGCGTATATGTTTTATCAAAGTGTTAGGTTATCAATGCATTACATACAGTTCTACATCATGTGTATTGTGACCATATCTGAAAATGTCAAACAATTATCAGTTTGCAGTGATGGGTGGTTTTCTGAAGACTGTGACAAACGGTGCAGGTGCCTTAGCAGTGCTGATCTATGTGACAAGATCACTGGTCGTTGTTCTAGGGGATGTCTCCCAGGATATTATGGAACCGACTGCCAAAGAGGTCGGAGCATAGTTACAATTTTAGTTAAATTTGATAAAGAGCCAGATGCATTTGATAATGCGTCAGATGCATGTTTCCTTTCCTGAATGAGTTTCTGAGTTAAGTGACCAGTCGTACATTGTATATGTTGAAACAGATAAGTCTCATGGCCAAAATGTACCCATACGCTACTAAACATTGACGGTAAGACCCAAAAAGGTGTGTGCCGAAACAGAGAGAGCAGATACCATGGTAGCGGTTGGGAGTATCTCATACTTACAATTAATTGAAGAAAAACACTTTTCAGTAACGATAGTGGTGGGTTGGGTTGGGCTGGGTAGCGGTTAGCTTTGTATTTTGTGCTATGATAAACAGCATTGACTAAACAGGTGATTAAACGGATACCAAAAGGGGAAAGTTTGAATAACTTTCATAAAGGTAGACGAATAAGTGTGAAAACTATCTGAATTGAATTTATAAAGGAAATCAATGTATATGCGCAACGTGCAGTCTGGTTATGTTTTCCGAAACTCTGTGGTTAAACTAATATTATTCATGTAGAACCTGTAGATGTTTGTACTCTTGTGTAACGAGATTTAACATTGAGAACACTCCCTTGTAATTTTATTGATAATACATACTGTTTTTGACTATGTGGTACCTTTCCCTCAGTATCCAGTGAATGAACTTCATCAAGTGTCATAACGTTCTTATTTGTTAGGCTAGAATAGGTTGCCACAGCATCAGATTAACTGTGGATGTGGCTAGCCATATTGAAGAGTACCTAACAAAAACCAATTCGTTTATGTACACAGCATGTCCAGATGGTTACTATGGCCTGGCCTGTGGCTTCCAGTGTGGCAACTGTGTGGATGGTGATGTTTGCATCAAGACAAATGGAACATGTCCTGGACGATGTGTAGCAGGGTGGATCAACGACAGGTGTAATCAGCGTGAGTAAACTGCAGTTGTAACATGCGCTAATTAGATGATGATAAAGTCTTTCGCATGTCTTTTAAAACTACAACCACTGCAATTATTACATGCAGTAAAATACGAATTCTAGTACTTTTGTTGGGCTGAGACCCATCCGGGATTCGAACCCACACGATCAGAGTCAGGCACCTAATCGCCAGCAGGCCAAGCCAGCCGCCTAACCCGCTTAGTCACTGCGAGTTCTGTTACATTTGATTACTTTCTAAATGACATTGTGTAATTATTCAATGTATACAGTACAGTTGTTACTTGCTTGATTTGTCCTGTTCATGTACACAATTCCATAATATATAAATATACTTATGCCTTTCATGATAGAATGTTGGTATAACTTTCTTTGTTTCTAAATAAATAATTACACTACTCTATTAACCTAACGATAGTGTTTGTAAATTTATACCTTTGGCCATCGACATGTGGTCAACATCCCGTGACTTGATTTTTCTAATGTTCTCAATTCCATCTGATCAAATGTGAATTAGAGGATGTCAGGTACATTTTCATGGGCGTCCTTTCATCTAATGTTAACAAAGTAACTGAAACAATTTGTTTATATTCACAGCATGTACAAATGGCTACTATGGTCCGAACTGTGGCTTCCAGTGTGGCAACTGTGTGGATGGTGATGTTTGCATCAAGACAAATGGAACATGTCCTGGAGGATGTGTAGCAGGGTGGATCAACGACAGGTGTAGTCAGCGTAAGTCAACTGCAATGATAACCTCAGCAACAATATGATGATAGCTTTTAGATCTTATGTCTGACTATTCAACAGAACATTTCCAAACATATTCCAAATGAACTGTTCCGTCTGTGGTGACGTCAGGGAGAATACGTGACCAAACCTGGTGGTGCATCTCAGGGTTGAAAAAATTAAAATAAGTCGGTTCAACCAAGGTGTAAAACATCGGAGAGCTCTGAAGTTTGGATAACTCTTGTTCAGAATTTGACTTTATCGTTTATCTCCATAGGAAATTCCTGGTTTGCATGAACAAAGTTTAGCAATGATTATAACAACCTACATAATATACATAGGAACCTCAGCGGACATGCCAAGAGTAAAGAGCAATATTGCCCCACTGCCCCTGACATTTGATGTTGAAATGTTAACTGCATCACAGAGGCTAACACTTGCTTAGACTATTCTTCACTGACAGGTGTTAATTTTACATTATACAGCATGCCCCGAAGGACATTATGGTGCCAATTGTGCGTCTCCGTGTGGTCACTGTCTGGACACTGACGTCTGTGACAAGGTGACAGGCAAATGTCCTGGAGGATGCCAGCCTGGATGGTGGCCAGATTTCTGTTCACAGGGTAGGTACTAAATCGCCACTTGTTCTTACATATCTTAATCGTTTTGTCTTTTTGTTAATGGTTAATAATATTTTTACAGCTTGCAGTGACGGTCGCCATGGACACCACTGTCAGTCTGAGTGTGGCCAATGTAAAAGAAACCTGTCTTGTAACAAGATCAATGGGACATGCAATCAAGGATGTCAGCCAGGGTTTCAAGAACCCCTTTGTTCAGGTGGGATGCATTTTGAATGTGATGGAAGTTATAATTTCTCATTATATTGCAGACGTCTGGCAGTTAGATGAAAAATGTATCTCCTCTACTCCACAGAATGCGTTGATGGTATGTACGGTGATGACTGCATGTCACGATGCGGTCAGTGTAAAGACGGCCTAACCTGTGATAAGTCCAATGGCGAATGTCGCGAAGGATGTCAGGGTAACTTCATGAAGCCCCTGTGTCAAGGTAAGACACCAATAGCAATAAGAAATATAATGAAACTAGATAACCGTAGTTGGAATTCTTGTTTTCTATCGATATAATGAATGAAGGTAACTTGGTAAGATATCAAGGCAGCTGATGTGAACCCCTTTTTATGTTCCTAAAGGTTGCACAGAGTGCCCGGCAACATCAGTATACTCAAACCAGGTAGTGCCAGTTGTAGCAACACTTGGTACACTTCTCGTCATAGCTGTCATCGCTCTGCTGACATCCATCATTTACATCAGAAGGTAAGGTGAAGATAATACATAGTGATATTAAGTACAGCGATTGACATTTTGTGCTAAATTAACCAGAGATTATGTATTGGAACGCATTTCAGAGAATGAAATAATGTCTATATTAAAATCATAATGATTAAAACATTTCTGTATAATGCAGACTGAAGATTCAACTGGATGCGTCACAAAAGAAACCCGAAGATAACTATTTGTCTTTAGACGAGAGGACCAAGGATCCAGTGGTGGAGAACACATATGAGTACATTGACAATACCACTGAATAGTTGCATAAAGCGTCCTTTCGTGATGTATGTGGATATAGAGTAGTATTCTGTATTAGTAGGAAATTGTTCAGAATATGGACACACGTGGTTTCTCATTGCATGTCACTTATTGGAGAAAAATGTTCTATGGATAGTCAACTTCTTTATTGCAATGAGTGCGACGTTTCGGTGTAGGTACTAACACCGTTATCAAGAAAGTGATACAAAGAGTTGTAATATGGAGAATATATACATAGCTGCATAGTGAGTATATACAACTGACAAGGTTGATATACATTGGATGCTAATAAGTGATTTGAGCAGAGTAAGTTGATGTACAGAGTGATATTGATTAAAACAATATGCAGAATGAGTTTATACAATAGATGAGTTCATTACACTGAGATGGTAATAGTGACTTGAAGAGCGTAGGTTGATGTACACATTGATTTGTTGTGATTACAATACACATAAGGGAGCATGGAAGCCAATTGGACGAGGTATGGGTGGATTACTGGTGATCTTTAATTAGTTGGTGAGAGGCCGAGGAGATAAAGTAACCTTGATCCCGGTTCATGGTGGGGTTGAAGCATTGGATTTTTATGGCCTCAAGCAGTTTCCTAATCTTGTAGTCTGCTCGGTTGGTTTCCAGTATGTGGATGTTGTTCCAAAGGATGGCATGGACAGGGTTGGCTCCCTTTTGTGTATTGTAATGATAACCAATCAATGTGCACATGGACCTACTCTCTTTTGTAAGTAGTATTTTGAATATTTCTCTCTAAATAATCGTTTGCGGTTGAAACGTTTGCTTGTCGCCCCGAATATATAAGTTTGATAAACAGCTGTGAAGCCAAGTCCTGTGTTCCTCGATAATACATATGGGTTGAAAGATGCACAAAATTATGTTACCTTAACCATGTTATTGCACTGAAATACAACACATGTTTATTCTGTAAAGTATTTAGATACTGTTTGAAACATTACAAAAGTTCGAACACCGTTGAATCGTTTCCTCATTACCCTGCACATATAAGTTTGATTCACAGCATGGGTGGAGTCAGTTCCTTGTTCCTTGTTACGGCATAAGGTTTGCAAACATTCACGTTAACAACATTCCTGCACTGAAATATATCACCTCAAAATTATATATACTCGGAGAAAAAATAATATCGTTCCATATATGTCGAACGTTTATACATGTCTCTTTGTACATATTTCACTGACACTCTTTTTATGAATATCAAATATATCACCAATAATAAGCTTCATGTGCCTATAATTTTATATATGTCGAACTTTCAGACTTGCCCGTTTGTACATGCGTCATTCTATAAGTGTCAAATATACCACTGATAGCTGCTTTGTAAGCGCAAAACCGTGGCATGTTGGTATGTACATATTTCACTGACACATTTGTTTCATAATGTCAAATAATGTTATCATATCACCAATAATAAGTCTCGTCATATTGTGGTAAATTATGATACAAAATATATGTTCTGTCACTTCATGTTTGCTCTTTCCAAATGATATTGGTTTGATTTGTAACAAAAATGTATCCAAATGAACAACATGCTGTTTTTCCTTAACACAGAATTTAGAACAACACCATGTTTTTACATGATATTTCACGTTGGTCAGTGACACTTATTTGAATTGTATTTTCGTATTTTGTAACCTGCGACTAGTGAGCGAGAATATTCTATTTAACCATGCCGTTTTCTATCGAGCAGCAGTTACAACCTTTCAGATTGGAAGGAGAGTCGCCATTGACCATGTTTACTATAAGCTGAGTAGGAATGCAATCTATGTTCTTGTGTCACATTTTTTGCAGTAACTAACCTACTCGGTTATGAGCATTTTGTGGATACATTAACCGTTGTACCTATTTGGAAGCTACATTTCATTTTATGGTGGTTTAAAAACAATTCACCAGACTTGGGCTTTAACAAGGTCAGGGCCTGTTGTGGGTTCCAGGTTTCTAATGAACACCTGCAACTTATGCTTGTCGTAAAGGTGAACTTTAAAAGTAGCCGAACTATATTTGCACAAAACTGTGGCAAATAGTGGCGTACCTTTCATGGGCGTATTAATAACAGGATTGTTCGTAATATAAGAAATGTCATGGAGATGATACTTAGCAGTTTATCAGTTGGTATTGGTGTCGGTTAATGACTAGCTTCATTTTTATATTAAAATAGCTGTGTGCAGTTACCTTTTTACATATGTTGATGTTGGTGTTTAGCTTGTTATCGGGAGTTAGTTTTGGTTATTAAACCAACCTTGCATTTCAGCTTGCATGTAAATGATTCATATTTGTTGAAGGGACATTGAAATGTCGATGCAAAGAATAAAATGTTCTTATCAATCAACGTGTCACTTATTCATTGTCTCTCATGTTTCATTCCGTGGATAGTCGGAGGAAGTGCGCATGTGTCTGGGAGGATTAGTATGTGGGGAACCAATTAAATGCTTACAAGTGGATTGTAAGAATTGACAAATGCCAAAGGATGGTTGTTTGTAATAACCAATGGTTTCCCTGATATACATGTATATCTAAATGACTACAGCAGTAAAATACGTTTTAACCACCACCGGACTCATAGTGCCTCTACTGTCCCTTGACGACATGTTTTATTTTATACAATTATCCCTTATCAATGTCAAATTGGTTCTCGTCACAATATGACTGAAATATTGCCGATGTGACGATAACTATTAACTCACTCACTAACTTACTCATAGTGCCTCTCTGTGCTTATAGCTATGCCAGTGTATGGCGTACGTCCTCGTGAGCATGTGCTATATGTATATGTAACGAAAATACACTCTTAAAAATTCCAAAGAAGTAAAACGCAATTGCAAAAGCAAAATTAGAATTAAATTCTGTGTTCAACATGATGACTATACTTCATTTAGCTTGATTGATACAAGAATGTAAAAATGCATTGTGATAGTTACATGTCCTGTATACGTAATGGAACTCGTTGTCCTATCATAAGACTTGCATGTCAAAGAGGGGACGTTCCAATCAGCACCTGGAGTGGCCATCGTGTGCTGTCTTCACTGCTAATACCACTGAATACGACTACGGATTGTACTCTGTGGAATTTGTCCTGGAAAGATATTGGTGTTTGAATTATAAAGTAAGTCAGCAGTGACTCGAGCTCTGTGAGTTGAAGCGTTGTCATGTTAAAACATCTTTCTCTCTCGGTGAATATCAGAGTGAGTGAGTTGACTGTATTGTCTTTCCATTACAAGGGATAAATATTTCAGTGTCAAAACAGTGAGGGACCTTTTTTTAATGTTAATTATCATTTAAGAAAAATTTTTTTTAAAGAAATAGAATCGTTACATAAATTTTGATATGTTTTGTAAAAAGATAAATATTTTATAATTGGCAGTTTAGATTATCAACTGAGATTGTTCAGGGCTGTAGATTGTTCCTCAAAGGGGGTTAAAGTACTGTAAAATTATTGTCCTCCTGAGAGTACCCTGAAATATTTATCCCTTGTATATATTTGTTCGATGTTCAGATTTTTGGGTCACATTCCATTGTATCATCACGAGGTCAAATGTAGGATGTGCCTCCGACACGATCACAATACATAATATGTTGAGAACCACCTAATGTGTAGATTTGTCCAAAACAATTCCGTGAGAAACAATTTTGTCAACGCCAGTGGACAAGCTGTAAGCTGTCTTCCAAATCTGCTGTGGCCAAAAATTGTCATTCATCACCAACCAGACTCACGGCCGGCCTTAGAATTCATGCCCGTACTCTGTGTGCGTGCGTGCGTGCGTGCGCGCGTGTGTGTGTATGTGTGTGTGTGTGTGCGAGAGAGATATGGATGTGCACATGAGCTGACATTTCATTTTTTTTATTTTTCTTATTGCTGTATCCTGTGAGGAAAGTATGCAACTAGAGTACGACAGAGTACAAAAGTAAAGTTTATACCATTACACCTATACGTAGCAAAGCAGTTTCGCAGTTGTATTACTTGTGTAGAAAATATGCATGTACCGCATATTAACATAACTGGTAGCAGGTAAACCATGCCATGTTTGCACAAAGTATAACAAGTCGAGGCCATATCCCTATAATGTTTTCAATACGAGCTTCACTGGTAGCCTGGACAGGTATCGGCGTTCATAAAGGCGACTATGGGCTGTTGATGTTAGAAGTGAGTAGCGCTGAGACATAGTTTTGCTATAATCAATTGTGTGTATAAACATCCCCATATATATTAGAACCTATGCATGATAATGTCCTATCAGTGTCCTGTCACTTAGTCATTACGTTATTGTGAGCACATGTCGATATACTGGCATTCATACACTATGATTTATGAACTAGACTGAATCTTAGTCTATGAAGACATTTCCATGGAACGATATGTTATTCGGACATTTTCTATTATGGAAAACTTGTGAAACTTTGATTAATTTACTATGTTCTTGCTTGAAATGTATGCCATGCTATATAATATATGTCACACTTTAACATGCCTAAGCAAATGCCAAATGTAAACCCAAACAATATAAACAGGGTCTGATGATACATTGTTCGAGAGCTCCACTGCTGTTTTCATCTGAGGAATCAAACAAACTCGTCCTGGCTATGTCTGATTGAGGCTTACGGAGGCCTTTACCAACATGTAAAAACAAATTTCAACGTCCTGGCCCAGATCTATGTAAAGCTATGTACTATCGCGCTTAATGCACGGCCAATGCAAACATTTCACGATCACATTTCAACAACACTGCACCTTGTTCAAACATCTCTGCACGACATACACGGTGTATTCGTTCAGTAGACATAAGTACTTTGTACTGTGCATAAAGAACATACTTGAAAGCACAGCTGGAACCTTTAGCGACAAAATGTATAAATATGTCATATCCCTACACAGTTCTCATAAAAACCACTTTCTAAGCTCCACGGATGATCTCAACCCCATGAGAATATAACGGTTTGTGTATTTAGGCATACAATGGTGGTTGAACAACCTTCAAAGTAGCAGTGTAATGCATAATCGTAACAGGTAACCTGCAATCC